CTCCTTCCACCCCAACATACTGCTCCATGTAGTTAGCCAGGTGCTACACAAGGGAGACCAATTCCAGTCAGATTTCACTCTCTTCAGGGCAAACATCACTGCAAAGAATCTATTTCCAAGCTGCTTATTCTGAGACTGATCCACATTGAAAGTCTTTTGGTGACACACAATTTCTGGCAATGCCCACAGCCTCACTATCAACCTCCCCCCTCCCAGGTAAACCTGTCCTCCTGGTAAAGCCTCACGTTTTGGGACAAGGAAGCAGGAACCATTCTCAGACATCTGTGGTACACAGGCTCCAGGATCACTGTGGTATTACCTGAACCTCCACAGGATCTTCTGTCTGAGTTTCTTCTGTATCCAGCAGCTCAATGGTCATGATCACCTGTCCCTTTCGCTGAAGAAACATCACCTGGAATGAAGGTGCAGAAGATATTGAGCACAGGGGGTCACAATAAAATGCTGTCTAGTCACAACAAGTCATTTGGGGAACAAACAGGAGCTAGAGAGAAGCAGCAGAGCTTCTCAGTGAGCTTCTCAGGGGTTCTCACTCTGTCCCCTCACTGTCTCTGCTCTGGTTTTGGTGCCTTCTCTCCATATTGCTCTCTCTCACCATCTCACCTTGTAGCTTCCAACCCCATTTCTCCCAGGTAAAGTGCCACAGTCACTTCATGATGTTCCCTGGCAGCAAGTTCTTACCTTGAAACAGTTCTCATCTGCCATGCACCGTTCAGCCTTCCACTGGTAGCTGGTCTCCTTGGCTGCCCGGACACAGCGGGAGGACAAGTTCCCCCCAGCAGCTCCTCTCTTGCGCTCGTTCAGGTACAGCTCCACCACCTTCAGGCAGATGTCATCGCTCACTAGGTGGTGAAGCTTCCATTAAAAAAGGGGGAATTCAGTCAGCAAACCTGGGCCAAGAGTTAACTCAGTGTGTTATGAAAACTCAGCACAGCATCACAGCTCGGCTGAAGCAGCAACGTTTAACTCCAGAGACTTCCCACATTTTTCTCTCCTTCTCATGGGACAGGGAAGAGTGAGGAACTGATAGGCCTCAACTCTAACCAAACTACAACTTCCAGACTGGAAGTAAGGACTGAACCTTTTTTTTTTTTTGGTTTGTCTTAGATATATTTGGGAATGGCAGAAGTTGAAAGGACCAGGAAGAGTAAATCCCCTAAGGTGGTCCCTGTATGGGAGCTAAACTCCCACTCAATTCTGCTGAGGTGTTTCCCCATCACAGATGACTTTTCTCTGAGCTTGGTGACCCCCTGCACTGCAGGGCAGTGTGAGAAGTGTGTGCACAGCCCTGGCTCACCTGGCGCACGATGTTCTGCACCAGTTTGTCCATGGTGAAGCCGATGTAGGCGTGGATGGTGAACATCTCCCGCAGAGTGTCCTCGTACTGCGTCGGGTCGATGTTCCCATCCAGCAGGCTCCTCACCATGTCCAGGAATGCAGGGTAGTACTCCTCCAGCTCCACCTCACCTGGGCAGGGAGAAAGTGCAGTTATTTAATGCATGGAAGAGGCAGAGTGAGGTCAAGAGAGGCAAGGGACAGCACTGCTCAAGGACCACAACAGTGTGGAGAACATTCTGACAGTTCTTTGTCAGGTGTCCTGACAGACAGGAACATCTCATGCAGTTCCAGGACTGCCTTGTGCAGTAACTATTTCTTTGTGGGGCCATTTAGATTTTAAATCACAGTGAGAGATTGATACAATGAGACAGCTGAGAACACCTGAGCACAGAGGGCTTGGATGAAGCTACACATAGAATCACAGAACCATCAAGGTTGGAAGAGACCCCTAAAATCATCAAGTCCACCAACCCTTAACTTGTCACTGCTGGAACTCCTAAATCAGATCCTCCAGCACCAGATCCAGATGCCTCTCAAACACCTCCAGAGATGGTGACTCCACCACCTCCATGGGCAATATCCAGTGCCTGAGCACTCTAACAGAGAAAACAGTTTTCCTAGTATGTACTCTGAATCTCCCCTGTCCCAGTTTATGGCCATTCCCTCTAGTCCTCTCACTGCAGGCACAGAAGGAGAGACCAAACAACATGATACACTGGCTGCCCTGTTAAATGAGCTGTGTCCACAAATCACAAGTACAGTACCATGTGCACCTCTCCAGCCCTCGCTCCTGGTCCCAGTTACTCAGATATACACAGGGAGCACTGGCAACCAGAGCACTGAGTGGACTATGTCCTGGATTATTCTTACTTGGTTGCTTCAGCCTTAGCTCCATGGCTGGATCATTGGTTTTCTCCTTTCTTCCCTCACAGAGGAGTTTCTCCCTCTCTTTCTCAGTCCGATATTCCAGGAGCTGCTTCTGAGCCTGGCGATAAATCTTGAGGAGCCTCGAGCACAGAGTCTGGTGAAGGCGCAGGAAGAAATACCAATTGTTATTGACAAAGAAGAGGCTGTAAACATCATCCAGAGTGTTGTGGGGCTCAGCAGCTGTCACATCACAGAAGGTTGCTTTGGTCTCCAGAGGACTGCTTGGAGGCCCAGGCACGTGTTTTTTCCGTAGCTCAGGAGTATCCAGGTTCTGCCCCTGATGGTTTTCTCTGTCCTCATCTGTTGATTCCTCAGAAATGCTGTGCTCAGGGGGCTGAGAGAAGAAGAGCTCAGGAATGAAGTGATGCACGATCTGTCTGATGGTTGCCTGATCCTCCTTTTGGATAGTTGGCTGCCTCTTTACGTAATAGCTGATAAGAGATGCTGCATCTTCCAAAATCTGCTTATCTTCATAGATAAAGATAAGATGTGGCTCATTTGTGGACGAACTTCTCCCTTCTGAATGCTGCTCCTGATGCTGTAATCAAGAGACAAATAGGTAAAGATCCTTCCAATCCATGCTCAAGAGCCATTCCTGCCAGAAGAAATAAGCCAAATTAACACTGTGCTCGGGACAGTCGTTTTTTGACCGAGAACTCCTCAGAGCACTACGAATTCCACGTGGTCCCAGGGGCTATGGACACAGCTAGGTCACACTACCAGAGAGGGACAGAGAGGATGGGTTATTTCCTAGCATACACACCTCATCATAGACACTCTCAATTTCATTCAGCAAGCTCTTGGAGCGCAAAGCTTTGGTGTCATTCTGTTTGAAGTTGACAGCCTGGTGGTCCAGGGACTTCAGGTAGGCTTTCTCATACTGCTCCCTCCAAATCTTGTTGAAGCCCTGCTGGGCCTCCCTCCACTCCTCCTCCTTCGCTTTCAACCTGCAGAAAGGTACACAGTCTCCTTCAGTTCACAGAGACAAGCACAGAAAGTACACACGAAACATTTTAACGCAGCCAACTGTGATCCGTCAACAAGTTTTCAGTGCTCCTGGAATCAGTAAAGAAATGGAAATAAGCATCACTACTGAAGATGAGTTACCTTTGAAAAGAGTTCACAGAATCCCAGAATCATTTAGGTTGGAAAAGACCTCTGAGATCACTGAGTCCAACCTTTGTCCTATCACCACTTCATCATCTAGATCACAGCACTGAGTGCCACATCCAGTTTTTCCCTGAACACCTCCAGGGATGGTGACTCCACCACCTCCTTGGGCAGCCTGTTCCATGTTCAACAACCCTTTCCACGAAGAAATTCCTCCTGATGCCCAACTGCTACCTCCCCTGGCATAACTTGAGGCTAAGTCCTCTCATCCTGTCACTAGCTGTTTAAAAATGCTTTACAATCTCAGTTTCTGAAGGGACACAGAACTGGGCATCACCTCTTGAGCACCACAGGCACTGCAGTGACTGGGTTTTTCTTCAGGCTCTCGATGATCTCTGGGGCTTTGTCCCCGTAGATGCGGTAGATGGCTCTGCGCTGGATCACCTCCGACGTCCCTCCCAGGCAATCATCCAGCCTGAACTTCTCCTGATCCTCCTGAGTCAGACGGGACAGTTTTTTCTGCACGCTCTCCAGCACACGGATTGTGGCTAAATTGGTCTCCAGGACAACATCCAACTGTTGAGAGTTCACAAAAACACCCAGTGTAAGAACAGGCAGAGCAGGAACAAGCAAGAGCAGCAGTTTGGGTTTGTGGCAGGAATTCCAGCCACACTGGGTGGAGCTAGGAAGCATCAGGAAGGTTTTTAATGGAAAATAGGACTCTGCCAGTTCTCCCAAAGGTAACATGCAATTTACAACTGGATTCCTGCCTAGGACGAACTATTAGACTCCAAGCAAGTGGAACACACCAAACTCCAGCTCAAACCAACGAACACCGAGAGAACTCGCAGGAACTGCCACCAATCAGGACAGGAAACTCCTCACAGCCCCAAGTTTTGTTTTCTGGGAGGCAGAAAGGGAACTCGAGGTACCTCAAACCGCTCATCCTCACAGCGGTGCAGCTGCTCCTCGTACGGAGTCTTCTTGGAGCTGACAAAAGTGGAGTCTTCAGACCAGGATGGAAACGACACCCAAGTATCATTTAACACCTGTAGCAGTGCAGAGACATGACATTGAGCAGAGCCTTGTGAGCCCAGAGCTGTTCTCTGATACTTCTCTCTCTTATCTTTTTGCACAGTTCTTCCCTGAGTTTCTATGGGACATTTCAAACCTAATTCCCAAGTGACTGTAGTGACTGAGCCCAGATTAGAGGTGTGTGTGGAACTGTGCCAGAGTCCTGCTCAGAAAACACCTTCCCCATCACCTCACACACACACAGAGATGACTCTGCAGTCAGCAGCAGCTCCAGGTAAAGGAGATGGAGGTGCCTCTAAGTGTCAGCAGTGGGAGCATCCACCCTGCAATGTGTGTTCTCAGGGGGAACAGTCAGGCACTGCCTCTCAGTGCTCTTCCAGAGAAAAACTGTCTCTAAAGGCAATCCTGGACACTGCTAGAAAGTTAATTCCAGGGTACTTAATACTCTTTCCTGTCTAAAGGAGTAACTTTGTGTCTTCACACAGACTCCAGACACATACGTGATCCGAGATGGGTTAAGATAAAATGAGCAAAATGTGGATGTTATCTCAGTAACTTGGCTGAACAAGTGATGTGAGATTAAAGCAGGTGAATCAGCACTGAAGAGGGAACTCCTCAGGCAGGAGTAAGTGCAGTGTGTGTCCAGGGATTGCAGGGGCTGATCCCAAGGTACCTCTTTGCAGATGGCTGTTCTTCCACTGCACTTTGGCTGCTGGTAGGTTTTGGGCAGAGCTCGGTAGCTCGAGCCAATGCGTTTGCAGGAAGCATAATCAATTTCCCGGCTCATCCCGTCCCCAGATCGGTCACTCAGTGGAGAAGCAAAGGAAAGTTCTTTCACCCCAAGGAAGGACTTGAACTGTGCAAAGAGTTCTGGGAATTTCCTTCAAAAACACAAGTAAGTGTATTCTGTTATTTCATCGTCAGTTTTAGGGTGGTTAACATGTCGTGAAAGGGAGGGAGAAATGTCTAAATAAACTCAGCACTGCAGTGAGAAATCTTTCATCAACACTTTAGCTCTGTTATTGTCCTCTCTGAATGACTTCAGGGGGTTTTTTGACTCAAGGTAGGAAAATAGTTTCCTTTCACTTCACACATACTCCCCTTACCTGCCTGAGGGGTCACTGATCCTTGCCATGTGCCTCTCCCTCTTCTGTTGGAAGCCAAGCAGAGAGAAGCTCACAGCAGAGCTAGAACTACTCATCCTTTTCACAGCTCTGCTCTCAGATTTCATGTTTGGACCTTCATCACATTTTGAGATATTAGAACAGGGAGTGTGAACAGCCTGAGGAAAATACCTCCCTCAAAATGTTCTTTAAGAGCTGTGTAGGTATGTTCAAAGACTCAGCATTTATTACTCCTCTTTATGGATTAGCCTTCAACTTCTTGTGTGCTCCCTAGGAGATACCTCTCAAGTTAACTCCAAACTTCAGTAACAAAATTCACAAGTCTCTGAAAAGGAACAGAGTAAGACCTACAAGGTACACACAGCAGAGAAGATCCTCAGTAACTTACCCTAAAAATGGTGTAACAAGCTGGAGCAACTCAGAGCCAGAGACCAACTCCTGGTTGAAGAGAGCAATGCACCGGAGAAAGTTTTCATAGACCTCCTGACTCTTGAGCACTCTGCGCACCTGGAAGAGTTTGGAGAGATGTGGTCACATCACTTGAGTGTCACCTGTGATTAGTTCATATCTAGAAACCACAGGGGCAGGGACAAACCTCTGTCTGCTCTGCAACATACAAAGAGAACATGCACAAAACTGCCCAGACAATAATCAAGTAACTACAGAGGGTAGCCAGGGGAAATGGCACTCAAAACCAGAGGAAATGTGGCAAGCATTCAGAAAAAGGTTCTATTCATCTTGCAAACACAAATGGTTTTACCTTTCTTGGTCTGTCTTTCTCTTCAACTGAAGGAATTGCTATGTGCTGACACACCAATTGTATGGAAACCCAACCAATCAGCACATGAAAGGCTGAAGGTAAGTCCCCAGGATGGGAGAACAAACCAAACTGACCTTGTCAAAGAAGGAGAACTCCTGCAGCGTTCCGTATTTCCCCACTGTCGCCACCGACAGGTCTTTGGTACCTCTCAGCTTCATTTTCTTCTGTTAGAAGAACAAACAGTTGTATTTAAAATGTGGTGACTCAAATGCCATCAAATTCCACCCTGTCCCCAGACACCCCCTATTTCCCCAACAGTGATCTGGCACTGCTGTGTCAAGTCCTCTCAGCAATCTCTGCCAACTGAGAAGAAACAACAACAACAAAAGAATCACTTGAGAGAGAATTTCAAAGACAGGTTTCCTCATAGAAGCAACAAATTGTTCCTTTCCAAGGCCAATACTTAGTACAAAAGCTCTTGATATTTAGTACCAACACACCTTTAAGCATACATTCAAAATTCCCTTTTTCTACCCTAACTACCACTGTAAAAATACCTTTGAGATTTTGTTTCTCATACCTAACTCCAACACACCTCACAGACTAACTCAGGACACCTTTATCCAAGCACTAACCTAAACACAAGGAGTAATATCTAAGTATCTAAGGTTATTCTAAGCTTTTCCTAGCTAAAAGGTACCTTTGCTGGGCCAGAAACAGGACGCAGCAGCAGTGGTCTGGATCTCTTTTTGCTGTGCTCCAGACTCTTCTCATGTTCAGTTTTCTGGACACTGTTCACTTCACATGGGCCATTTCCTGTGAACTGTAGGAAATAAATAATGATTTCCATGTTCTCTTCTCCACTGGCACAAGTAAAGAATCCTAACAGAACACAGAGCATGTGGTTAAGTCACCTGCTCTGAGAAACTCCAGACATTGGAGAGGAGTAAAGTTCATTCCTGGCTGTGTGTTTTTCCATAGTGTTTGGCATATTCTACATATGAACAAGAGATTAGTCAATATTCTGCCTTGCTCTCAGCATACACTTACCAAAGACCTTTTAGCCTCTGGGAGGAACTGTCCAAACTCAGAGAGCAAATCCTCCTGTCCCCGGAAGAGATTGGCCACTTCAGTAAACACTTCTTCCTCCGACATGCCGCGGAAGGGTCGGCCCTTAGTGTTCAGCTGCTCTTTCTGGAAACATACACAGATGTGAGAGTCAAAAAAAGACATCAACTCTGCCAGAAAACTCATCCTGAGCCAAAACCCCCAATGCTACACAACTTGAAATGACTGTCAGACAGCCCCAGGTTCTTACAGCCCATCCTTTCACACACAGGATCACTACATCCACTGCAGTGAGGAAAGACACAGCCACAACACCTTCACACCTCAGATCCTGCAAAGTTCCAGAGTTTTCACACTCCTGTGATTTCATGTCTATATCTATGAGGCAGTTGTTGGACAAAGCCTAGTCCTTGGGAACTCTCTAAGCCTGTTCAACAGGCAGAGGTCAAATTTAACAACTACTACTCCAGCAGCTGCAGTGCAAACTCACTTCTCTTCCATGGAAAACTTTTTACCTGGTAAGTGTGAAGAATTTCTAAGAAGGACCTGTAAATCTCTGGATGGTCGAGGAAACGTGTTTTGATCTTATTCACATAACTGATAGCATTGTTGAACTCTACGGAATCAGATTCCAAGGGAATTTGGGATTTGTCTTCTTTGTAGGGAAGCTGTTGCCTGAACTCCTCAGAACAGTCACTGTGGTTGTGTGAGTTCTCCTGGGAGTAGTGCAGGAGCAGCCCACTGCCAGGGAGGGCACTGGGAACAGGCTCTGGAGGCACCTGCAGGGACAACACAAGGAGATGGAGACTTGGAAAAGGAACACAGGTCCAACAGCAATCCAGTGCTGTCAAGCTGTTCAGCTAAAAGAGACAGTGCCATGAAGAAGAAAAGATTTCCTTAGCCAGGTTATTTCCCTACCCAATTGATTAACTCCATCAGTTAAAATAATCCCCCAAGGCCCATCTGGTGTAGGAATCACCTGACTGGTTAGAGCTTGTGACTGTCAGTGCTAAGGGTGGTGAGACACTGGCACAGGTTGCCCAGGGAGGCTGTGGCTGCCCCAACCCTGGCAGTGTTTCATTCCAGGTTGGATAAAACCTTGAGCAACCTGCTCTGGTGGGAGGTGTCCCTGCCCAGGGCAGGGGTTGGGGCTGGATGATCCCTGAACTCCATTCCAACCCCCTAACATACTATGACACTGTCACTGTGTTCTTTGCCTCACCTGAGAGCCTGGACCAGACACCACACACTGCAGTTCCTGCTGCCCTGATGACTGCAGACGAACTGCCAGTTTTAGGGAATGTATTAAAACAAAAGGCTCTTACAGATGTTAATTTAGAAGCAACAGAGATCTAAGGGAAGTGAGATCTCACAGATAGCTCCTGCATTAGAGTTAAACCACAAGTTTATCAGCAGAGTTCAGGTCATGGCTCTGTTTCAGCCTCCACAACCACACAACAACAACACCACCACAAAACAAGCAGAGACAAACATCCATGTGTACAACATGAGCAACTGCAGGGCAATACCTGACAGGGACTCATGACCTTAAAGGTCTTTTTCAACCTAAAATATTGGATGGTTTTATCGTTGTGTATTTCTGCCTATTGCCTAACCAGGTTTCTCAGTGCAAGACTGGAAGTGTGATTCCTCCAGGATGCCTTTCTGAAATCTGTCCCTACCCACAGCACACGCTGAGAACCTGGGGAACTATGTCAGGCCAATTACAATCTCAGTTTTCAAACCTAACGGAAGTATTTGGGGTTGAACTGGTGTTTCATGCAGGATCATCATTCCTGTGTGAGCTAAACTAACTGGTTTGGGAACAAATTGGGGGTTGGAACTAGCTGATCTTTAAAGGTCCTTTCTAACCCAAACCATTCTGTGATTCTTTGAGTAAATGTTTGATTTATATCATACCCATTACCATAGGCTTTGAAAACCATCTGAAAACTGCAGCAACATGCAGGACACATCAATCTCCACAGCTCACAGATGTGTTCAGGACACATGGAACAGAGATTGTTTACAGAGTAAGAGCTCTGTGACCTACCTGATTATTTAAAGGTGACTGTATACTTAATTTCCCATTCTTTGGAATCTCTATCCTGTATCCCAGAGGGAGAAATGCATTGAATCCAACAATGAGGTCTGGATGCTCATGGAAAAGCTGCGAAACACGTCGGATGACTCCAGGTGTGTCAATGCTAAAAGTGAGAAGAGTTTGTTACTTGCATCCCAGTCAGAAACACAAATCAAGCCTAGGAAATGCCAGAGGTACGTAGAGCATCTGAATCCTTAGGGAAGTAATTTTGGGGACTTTAATCCTAGAGATGAGCCCAAGCAGAGGGAATGATCACTGCAGCCTCCCACTGGGAATGTTATCCAGAGAGATGAGTGTGAGGGTACCGCAGGGACAAGACACCACTACCTGCAGGGCTGGCAGGTCACAGGTTCTGTGCTCAAGCTGCTTCATCTATTTCCAGAGCTGTGTTTCAGAGTGGGAAGTAAAAATAGATTTGCCTTTTCCTGTGGATTTCATCTCTGGAAAATGATGGGCACTCCACCTCCATGTGACTGCAGCACTGGGGGACAGGGCAGTGGGGCAGAGTGTGTCTGCAGAGGGAGAATGATGGTGTGAAGGCTGGAGGACCCTGCATAGGCAGAGATCCCCCAAAGGGATCTTTGGAGGCTGAGACCTGAGGGAACAGCTGGAGCTGTGTCAGGGGAGTTTGGGATGGATATGAGGAAAAAGATCTTCCCCCAGAGGGTGTTCCAGCACTGAACAGCTCCCCAGGGCAGTGGTCACAGTCCCAAGCCTGACAGAGCTCCAGGAGTGTTTGGACAACACTCTCAGGCACATGGGGGATTGTTGGGGTGTCTGTGCAGGAGTTTGACTGATGATCCCTGTGTGTCCTTTCCCACTCAGGATATTCCAGGATTCTATGACAGGCTGAGGAGCTCCCTGGGGTGCAGGACTTGGGCTTTACCTCTGGCTCTTGAACTCCTTCATGATCTCCAGGAAGCCGTTGTAGGTGGCAGGGTCACTGCCAAAGCGAATCTTCACCTGGTCCAGGTAGGAAAGAGCATCCTCCACCTGCAGGGTGAGAACTCAAGTGAGGCAAAGCAAGGGAGAACAGGCCCTGGGTCTGGCACAGGGAACAGGGACAGCTCACAAGGCACTGGGGGAGGTGTGACCTGGCCCCGGGGGAGGATCAGCAGG